TTATTCCATTTCAGATACTAGATTAAATTTCTCATACTACAAAATGGGAGAGAGATGTTTATTAGGATGGTTTGACAATATTCTCATGAGAGTTTCCAATTGAACATTTTTGTTTCAGTACAATAAGAAGGGACCATGGTTTTACCATCCAGGTAGCCTTCCAATTGAACATCTGAAACTCTTTATATTATACACGAGTATTTTTGAATTTTGTTCATCTTGATGACTGACTTGTAGTTGTAAATTTGCTTGAACTCATGTTATACTTTTATTCTATCCATATCAACTCTATACTCCTTCACCATATAGGAGTCTCCTAACATATAGTTTTAAATTTTTAGGTGCCAATTTGTTGTTGCTATAGACGTTGACCCTCAAAAAGTTGTAATGGCTTTCAATAATGCAAGTATATATGGAGTGGAAGATTATATTGATTTTATTATTGGAGACTTTTTCCAACTTGCTCCTTACTTGAAGGTACTTTCTTCTGTTTTCATTATTGCTGCCAATTTTGGATAATGTTTACGTTAGGGTGGAACTTAACTAATTAAGTGGTTTTTTTTTTTTTTTTAATTGATGTTTATAGACACATTCCCAATAATAAGCTTTACATAGTTTTGATGGGATGAAACTTAAGAAGTTTTGCATCTGCAATACTTAAAGTATTTGAGTAGCCTTTTGATTTTTTTTAAAAATTCCCTTTTACCATAGGGATTTGGTTATATTTTCTTTTTCCTTGCAGAATTTTAATATGTAGGGTGAATAGGACTTCCTAACTGATCTTAAGTAGTTCCAATCCTAATTCAACTTTCTTTTCTGTTTTTAGGGGGATGTAGTATTTGTTTCACCACCATGGGGGGGTCCATCATATAAAACAATCCAGAGTTTCACCATGGATTTACTGAAGCCAAAAGATGGGTATGTGTGCATTTCTGTGATTGTTTGCTGGGTTTTTTTTTCTTCTGTTCAAATTTGAGAGACTTGTTTAACATTTATTTCCTGCTGCCTGCATGTTCTCATTTTTTAATGCAATGGTTTAAAGAAGAGGCATCAATTGATTTCAAAATTTGCAGACTCAATAATCTTGTAAACATTACTATTAGATTCTGAATGACTGATATGCAGTCTAATTATGCTTAGTTAAAATATTTAACCACAATTTGTTCATCCAAGCTTAAATAATTTTGAACTACTTCTTTAGGTTTTCAAAACCTTATGATTTTCATAACATAGAAATAAGCTAAGCCAAACGACTTCTTGGTTTTGTTATTGATGAGTTATGATTTTTTGTTTCTTAAAATTATTTAAAGTAATCATTAAACATAAGCAAAGATGTATATATGTATAATATTTCATGCTGAGTCTCTTTGGCAGACTAAAATATCACTTGGATTGGAGTTGAGTAGGATAAACCATTTGTGATGTATCTTTGTTTATGTTATGCTTGTTATTTAGTTGATTCTTGTAACATGCCCATTTCATTTTGAACTTTGAGTTGCTCTGTTGTATGTCTGATTGCAAGATATCCTGTAGATACTCAATATTTCAAGCTGCTCAGAGGATAACGCCTGATGTCATTATGTTTTTACCTCGGAATGTGAACCTAAACCAAGTTGAGGAGCTTTCATGGTTGTCTTCTCCTCCTTTGATGCTTGAGGTATGTCACTTGGTTCTCCATATCATGCATGGCAGAAGAGAGGCCTCTTCTTGTCTTATGATGCTTGTTTCGAGTGTGTAGATAGAAGAAAACTACTTGGCAGGCTATTTTAAGGGAATAACTGTCTACTTTGGTTCTTCTGCACACAGGTAAGTCTTATTACCTGGGTGTTCAGTGCTATAATTACCTTGTTATCTTACAATATGGTTTTCCAGCTATATGGAAATTAAGGGTATTTCATGCTAGCCTGATGATTGTTTGTTAATGCTGAAGGCGTGAATAACTATTTTTTCCTTTAAAAAATTTCTACTCATACTTTCAAAAGATAAATGAAGCAAGGAAGTATGCTCAATGCTTCACTGCCTGCAAATTTGCTGCTAGGATAAATTTTTCTTGAGGGGTGAAATTTTCAGGATAGTTGAACTGGAATTAAGAAATGACTTTGTGCTAACTTTTTAGGAATATGATTAAATAATTCATGCTCATATAGCACCAAATCTAAGGGATATGTGTCATTTATCATGTGTTGGGACTTGATTTAACCCTGGCAAGTTTTGGTTAAGACAAAATGAATTTAAATCTGGAAAGGAAATGGTTCAACAGTACTTCAGCCTCTCATTTTATTAAACTATGGTAACCAAGTTGTGCAAACTTTATTTGAACTTTGAACTACGAAGTGGCAAAAATAAAAATTAAATGAACTAAAAATTTTCAAACACAAAAAAGAAAGAACTTATTACATCCCCCAACATGGAATAAATGCATTCTAGGATAAATCAGTTAAGTCCCCATGATTCACTGGAAATTCATGACTCCATGTCTAATGACAAAGCAACTCCAGAGTCGAAACCTGATCCTGTTGAAGTTGAGGCACCATCCCAAAGATTGGTTACTTCAATTTTGACATACGTAACCTCTTCATGGTTTTGTTGACCATTTGAATGGTTTTTGTGAAAGACGAATCTGTTCTAACTCTGCAGCAACTTCTATCATCTTTGGCCGCTTTCTACCACTCAAGCTCAAGCATCAATATGCAAGTTTGGCAACCTTTCTTATATCTTCATGTACAGAACTCTCCCTTAATTGAGATCAAGAATATTAAAGAGACTATTCTCATCCATGGAAAGGATGAAATGAGAGGCCAAACTTCTTGTTTCCTCTTCCTTTGCTCCTGCTAAAGAAATTGGTTTTTCTCCAGTTAACAGCTCAACAAGTATGACTCCAAAGCTGTAAACATCACTTTTTTTTCTGTAAATTGACTTGACTAGAAATATTTGGGGTCTAGGTACCCAAATGTGCCCTTTACATTTGTGGTCAAACGAGTTTGATCAATGGTAATTGATCTTGATGTCCCAAAGTCTGAAACTTTTGCCTTATACTTTCCATCCATTAGAATATTTGAGAACTTAACATCTCTATGATAAATGGCAATGGAGGCTGGTGAGTGCAAGTAGTAAAGTGCGCCTGCAGCTTGTGCTGCAATTGTTGCTCATCTTTCCTAGGTTAATGGCAAGGCCTCATTTTGATCATGTATATACTGGAAAAGTGTTCCATTGGGGATGAATTCATAAACTAACAGAGGAACTTCAATCTCCAAACAACAGCCTAATAACTTAACAATGTTTTTATGATTAATGTGTAAGAATGACCACCTCATTGATGAACTCTTTAACTTTCTCTTTGTCCAATACTTTGGACTTCTCAACTGCAACAATTCTTCCATCAACCAACATTCCTTTTTAAACAGTGCTCTGGCCTTCTTGACCTAGTATTCTTTTTTCTTTTTTTTATTTGGATCACCTGGTATCCGGAAGCCCATTAGGTCACCGACTAATTTGGATTCGAGCCGAAGCCGAACAGGACCCAACGGGCAGCAAAGCTCTCCCTCACGAGTTTTAACGGAGCTGCATTCTCAAAACTTGAAACCAAGACTTCTAGTTAAGCTGGAAGAATCCCCTACCAACTCATCCACCCGCTTGTGGGTTTCCTGACCTAGTATTCTATTCCTGTTGAATTTGTTTGTAGCTCTCTCCAACTGCTCTGTACTAAATATTTTGGTCTTTTCAATAATACCCTCAGTTGAAGACAGTTGTTGCTGCAATAATAAACCTGCATGTTGTTTGAAGAACTGCCTTTGAAGCTTCTATTTCATTTTCTTCTTTAAAAGTTTGTACAACTGCCTTGTACCAATAGGTAAACATACTAGTCCAAACGCTAAGCTAATACCTGCAGATATCAAGAGAGAAACGGATGATTTTAGCAACATATACACATATATATCAAAACTTGATAATATAGAAGTCCAGTTTCATGTTTAGAAATATCAAAATGAAATGAAATAAAATTAATATATGTCCACAGGAAATTGAGGATAAACTCTTAATACCCGAATAACTAGAAAAAAAAAAAAAAGGGATTTGTATTCTAAAAATAAATAAATGATGGTCGGAAAATATGGGTCTTACCCAAAATCATAGCTGATTGCGAGGCTATCTTGCCTTGTGGATAGCAATCGTAGCTCCTCATCTTATATTAAAACAAATTGAGTCTGGCCCACCGTTAATCTTGTGGCTAGTGTCATTGCATTCACCAATGTCTAGGAAATAAATAAATCGATAATATAATAATTATAATATTATGTAGAATTATAAATTTATAATAATAATGTAATATTAAATAAATATAATGTGAGATTGATTTGAACGAGTTG